AAATGGTGTCCATAATGCTAATGTGGCAATCATCCGGTCATTGATGTGAAAGTGTCAAATTTAAATTAAAGGTGGGATCACATGCCTCATCAACATTATGGACACCCTTATGTAGATGCTTACGTACCTCTAGCATTATCCTACAATTAATGGACTAAAATCATTAGATAAAAATCAAGGCAATAGCAAATTCAAAAATTAAAAGATAAAAATTGTTCATTCCATTAGAGCTCGAGTTTTCTTCACGGCCAAGAGATTGGAATCAAGAGGACCCTAATAATTTTTATTTCGCCGTTAGTGAATTTACACGAAAAGGAACACATAATTTCAACAAAAAAAAGTGCATGAAAGTTATTTCACGTTAGACGGTTAGTCGAATAACTCTACTCTCAACTAACGCTGACGTACAAATTTCACACTTTCATGGGGCTATACAAAAGTTTTTCAAACCGTTGTCCCGTTTGTATTAAACTAAATATCCACCAATTATATATTTAAGATTATTAAACACACGTGTAAACTATTAATTTGTTAAATCCTATGTTTATTTTAATTTTGTAAAGATTGCAGAGTTTAGGGAAGTTCGAAAGAACATTGAACACCTAACCCTACCCAACTTATAGTTTACTATCTATTGATTATTGATTTATTGTCGAAGGCCAAGGGAATCAAAGTTCCTCAAGGAATATTTTATACATCAATATCTTGCTCAATGAGACATGGTTGAGCTGGCTTGACTTTGACTTGATCAAATTTTCTCAATTAAGTCATGTATTGAGTCGAGTGATAAATCTCTTTGGCACCTTCTCCATCTCGTTGTGTCACACTTTGACCTTGGATTTGATCATTAGAATTCAGAAGATCGAACCCAAATTTAAGACTCACAAATCACTCTATGACTTGCATGATTATACAAAGACCAAATATTTAGCAGCGATCGGAGTCGGGGGAAAAAAATTGTACAAAACTACTATATAGAAGGGAAAAAGTTTACACGAAATTTTATTTTTATATATAAAAGAACTTACTAGACTTGTACCGCCCTGAATGTTGTCTTCTTCATATCTACGCCCCTAATAATATCCATTGTTGGTGTGCATAATCTAAGCGTGTTTCAATTATCGCACTTTCACCTTTTTTTATGTAATCAATTTGATCGAGTAAAAATACAAGTTCAAATAAAATTGATGCCTCAAGGGTTTAATTCAATTTAAAACCTAATAAATTTTTCATTGTCCATTCACGAATTATTTAAATTCACTCGATCGAAGTTCATTTGTTGATTCCCTAATCTTAGCACGGAATTTTGAATCTCGCATAGCTATCATTTTATCGATAAGATTTTTATAGTATACAAATTAAATTATTGGTGTGTCAATTGCAATTTTTGTTGTGTCCAATGCTTGAACAATATCTTTAATAAACTTGTTTTTCTAAATAAAAAAAAAATGTAATATTGGTTGCTTTCATGTGGACTAGAAAATATAAAAAATTAAGCTAAAAGAGTGAAATGTGTAACGACTTTAATTCATATCAAAATTTAATAAAAATTATTTTTTTTATGAAAAACAAACGTGGTCTAATTAATTCCGTATATTTTTAAAAAACTTTTACCATTACGATCGCACGCCATGACATCACTCCTATAATTTCTCTAGAAGAGGAATCAATCTATTAAATATTTAAAATCAAAGAATATGAATTATGAGAAAATGTAGACCAAGTCCCATGTACACCATTGACTTTTGTCCCTTTCTAGTCATCTAACCAATCACATTTTTCCAAGTGGTCAACGAAAAAATACAAAGGTAAGTTTGGTAATTCAAATTATGAAAACGACACGTATTATATATCCATGCATCTCGCAAGATTCACAACGTACAAGCCACTAATTACTCGTAAGGTTTATAAGACTTTGTTTAAAAGCGCATCCCTTTTGTTAACAAAATTTAAATTGTGATAAAATTCTACGCGACATCATTGTCTAATGAATAAACAGTCCAATTCATTTGACCTCTAATGCGTTCTATATATAGTCTCTGTTTGACAACTATTATT